GACATAACTTGTATTGACACTTATTATGTTTTTAGATATATATATATATATATATATATATATATATATATATATATATATATATATATATATATATAAAAGATGCAATGCATCATAACTAATTGGACAAATAAGAAAAAGATGTATATATATATAGGATTTGAATCAAATAAAAATATTATTGAGAAAATTAAGAACCACTCAGAATCATTATTTTGTAAATAACTAAAACTTTAAAGTGTAACTAATAGTACTATAGAGTAGTGCATCTTGCATATATATATATATATATATATATATATATATATATATATATATATATATATATATATACACGTGTAGTGAATAAGAGTATCCTCAATAGGTATAGATTTTGAGGAATTTTTGCATGTGTGACTAAGATAGAGAAGATGGAAGGAAAATAAAAAATAAAAAAAGGGAGAAGAATAGTTGCAGATTAACTCACCTAGCGGCTGCTTGCAATAATGGGCGCATTCTGTGCTTTTCACGGGGCAAGTTTTTTTTTTTTTTTTGGTGGGTCCCACTTTAGAGACAAAAAATCAAGTTCTTGCATTACAACCTCAAAAATCACCCCAAATGTCACTATTGTGGTTGCTCTAAATACACTTTGTAGCTTTACTTATAGGTTGTAATTGAATTGAATTGCACTCTAAAGTTTGAACTATTTACAAAAATACCAGGAATTAGATTCACTTTAAAATTTGAGTTATTTATAAACATGCCACTACATTTTTTCCTCTAATTGCTTTAGATCTGTTAGATCTTTCCACATGGATAACTCTGAGTGGTTCATACTCCGTAAATCAATCAACTATAAGCTATCAACTAACAACTGATTGCCAAACACCCCCTAAAAGTCTATTAACCCCACTCCCTAGCTACCTCCTCCCTTCCTCTAGACTTTTACCTAGCCTAATCGGGACCAACACACACACAGACACAGACACACACAAAGTTGCGTTCAAATGAGAACCACTCTCCATGTGAGAACATAAAGACTAATCTTGTGCGTTCATTTTTTTTTTTTTTTTTTGGATGGTCTAGATTCGATTTCTTAAGATGACATGGATTGATTTTTTTTTTAACTGGTTGTTGTTGTTGTTGTTGTTGTTGTTGTGTGTGATTTTTTTTTTTTTTTTTTTTGTAATTGTTGCAAATGTGGCGATTTGTTTCCTATTTTCTTGGATCATCACTGTTGTGAATTGGAGTCGCGATTTCTTCATCATCGATCGAGTGTTTGTCCATTGAAATTGATCAGTATTTTTTGTTTTTTTTTTCCTCTTTTTTTTTTAGTATAATATTGTCTATATTTGGATGTTGGTGTATAAATGTATAATACACATTTTTTTTTTGAATACTTATGATCCTTTAAAAGGTAGTTCTTGTTCTATACTATATAGTAAATGGCACATATAATGTCTTCATATATTATCATCATTTGAGAATATAAGAAAATATATGGTGGATGCATGTGCATGTTAATAATAATGAGAAAAAATAATGGAAGTTATAATAGTATGAGTTATTTTTGTCCAATAAATTGTATAATATAACTTGTATACTACAATATATTGAAGAAAAAAAACAGACATAAATGAAGGTTACCAACATTCATTCACTCCGTTATTGTGTTCGATGGTGAAAACCCTAGACCAAAAAAAAAAAAAAAAAAAAAAAAAAAACCCCTTCATTCACACTTATAATGCGTGCATTGCGCGATTAAATTAAAGCACAACACAAAAATTAAAATAAGTAAATACTTAGTATTTTTCGAATACTATTGACCATGTAGTATCTGTTCAAATATACTTTCTCAACCTACTGAAGCCCAAGGAATCAATACCGTCTCCACTGAGGTTTGGGCCCATGACCTCCCATACTTAGGCAATTTATATCCTACACCACGGCGCGCGTTGCACTATGCGCCCAGATGCAAAATGACGTCGTTTTAATTATTATTTTTTTTGAAATTTCCCGCCCCAGTGAATGGCAGTAGTTTTTTCTTAAAAAAAAAAAAAAAAACCCCGATGTTCAAGAATGTACATAATGTTATACTAGAATACACATAATGTTATACATGAATGTACATAATTATATAACAAAATATACATACTCTTTTTAAAAGATAATACACATAATCTAACATAATACATAATAAACATAAACTTTTAACATAATACACATCAACTCTTAACATAATACACACAAATTTTCTGATTCGGATGTACATAATTGTATAAAAAGAATGTACATAATTGTATAAAAAATACACATAACTGTATGAACCAATACACATAACGTTGTGAACAAATACACATAACGTTGTGAACAAATACACATAATCTCAACAACTTCCTACCGCGCCTCCCAACACTACCCCAAAACGACGTCGTTTTGGGAGGCGCGCGGCGCACAGTGCTATGTGCGCCGTGGTGTAGGATATAACGATTGCCATACTTAGTATAATTTTTAAATATTAATAATTAATATAAAAGCAATGAGTAAGTTAAGAATAATAAATAATTAACGGAATATTCCGTTAATAAAGTTTGTAAATAAATGAAAATGTAAAAAATTAAAGATGGTAACTTTGAAAATGTCATATTATTGTACAAAGAATAATTCAAAAATATACAACGTACCAGATACGCCTCATTAAGTGGGTATGGTTCGGAACAATTAGTTTGTCTATCCTAAGTTAGTTGAAGACTCCTAGTAAAAATAATAAAAATAGTAAAAGGTCAACATCTTGCTTCATATGCCATAACTTGCAAGGATTCAAAGAAAACTAGTAAGAATCAGCCCAACCGCCTCGCTTCCGAGGGGCGACTAGTCGGCTCCCAACCCTATCATATGCCAAGTAGTTATTCTAGGAGGCATTGTCACCCCGCGCGCAGCCCAGGACGCTTGCACATTCACTTTGACTGCAAAGGTCATATCTCCTTCCCATGCTCCAAATAAGGTTAGCCACCTCACAGAGATAGATGCCTTAAGCCAGCCACTACGCTCCGAGTGATGCCTGCCTTATGTCTCCAATGTGCTTTGATTGATTTTTTCTTTTAAATTTTATTCTTAAACAACAAAGATCGGATCGATACCTTATCTCGATTGAGTGCCTTATCAATTCACACATTATTACACTCAGAGACGGAGCCAAAGGGGGAGGGAGAGGGGGGGGGGGGGGCAACTGACCCCCTCTCCCCACCCCCACCCTATACCCCCACCCTATATATAATCTTTGTATGTATATATGTATATATAGTATAGGTTTTAATATTAGTATAAAAAAATATTAAATGTTAATAAGAAATAAGTTAGATTAGTTGGCAAATAAGTTAGAAATAAAGGTCAAGAGTTTGAATCTTGGCGCACACACACACACACACACACACACACATATATATATATATATAATATTTTTCTATTCAAATTATTTTATCAAATTAATTATGTTTCATATTTTGTTATGAATATTTTTATAAAGTTTCGATGTGTTTTATTTTTTGCTCATATCCAATAATACTTACAACTATATTCTTTAGGTAATTTATTTTTTTTTTAATTATCTCTTTTGTTTTAATGTTTCACCTTTATTGAAAAAAATTTCTGAATCCATCACTACTTCTTCGCCCCTCAACTGAATTTCTGGCTCCGTCCCTGATTACACTAATATAATTTTTATCCCTGTTACAACGTTACTAATATTGATTTTTATTATATTTTATTTAGTAGATAATATATATTATTTAGATATACAATTTTATCTGAAAATAATATTTTAATAGGTAACAAAAAAGGAGTCCAAAGTTTAGCCTTCAGAAAAGGAAAATTAAAGAAGCAGAATATATACCTTACAAAAAAAAAAAAAAAAAATGATAAAGCAGACTAAGCAGTATTGCCGCTCACCCAAAGTTTTAAAGAAGTCTCTATCTTTAGCATCATATCAACGTAACATTTAATGGTGAGGACTTAACATTGGAAGAATATTTATCTAATACATGACTAACACTTGAAAGGTGATTGTAGTAAACAATTTATACTTCACTATTAATCATTTGATTGCCATTTGATCTTATAAATCAATTAGTTGAGCCAAAAATTTTCCATATATATATATTCTCATGCGGTGAGGACTTAACATGCGGCCGGTCACCATTTGGTATGCAAAAATGTTCCAATAATGTTAGTAAATCCACTACAAAAAAATGTTCCAATAATGTTAGTAAATGCACCACAAAAAAATATATATCAATGCACCACAAAACATACCATTAAGTACGCATCACCACAAAATGCACTATTAAGTACGCATAAACTCACCATACAACAGTATTCAGAAACGCACTATTAGGTGTAAGGAGGTATGATGCATTTTTTTAATGTGTGGTACGTTTTGTGGTTCATTGGTGCATTTTATTGTGGTGCATTTTCTAACACTATTGGCACATTTTTACATATTATGTGGCCATACCAACTACACGATTAAGTCCTGAGCGCACTTGAACTGACATATATATAGATATAGATATATATAGATATAGATATGGGCGTATATATGGCCACAGGTTATCATCAAAGGCTCTTATCTTCTTCTGCAACTGAAAGATAATTTCTATCAAATAAAGATTGAATGACAGACTCAAATTATACACTACCAGACCAAGATATGGACACGTGGCCGAAACCCACATGCTCTACACTCGTAGCTCACTCCTCGTACACCTTTGTGTTTTTTGTTTCTCCCCATGATGATATATATTATCATCAATTTCACCATATCCTGTTTTTCAGCTCTTTCTGTCTTCCTTTCTCTATAAAAGCCTGCACTTTGATCACCATAAAAATCGGTTCTTGAAATCACAACAAGAAAGAAAGAAAAAAAAAAAAAAAAAGATCAAGTAATTAAATAAAGGTCTATTTTCTGAAAATCGAGTGGCTTTTACTGGAAGCTAAGGTATGTTCCAGTTAGTATTTTTATTTATACCCACAAATATTCTTGTTCTCTTTGTACGTAAATGTGCTTTTCTTCATTGTTCTTTTGTCAAATTGATTCCGATGATATCTACATGTTTGGGTTTCTCGTTTTCTAAAAACTAGAAAGGAAATTGACGTTAAATGTACGAAATTGTGTGAGTGACAGTGATATGCACTGATGCTTATGAGGATGTTTGATGTTTATACATTCTTGGGTAAGTAACTCATAGCAGTTGATAGTTGATTGTGGAACTACCCTTTCCCCTGCCCTTTAGTTCTTGTTTTTTAATGTTAAGAAATGGGAAATTGCCTAATTCTTGTTACTCTCAAACAAAGGTGTGAGAATTTTGATGTTATTATCTCTGTTTTGTTGTATTTAAGGGGAAAGCTTGGAGGGAGGGAGTGAGTGAGCAGAAATTGCATTAAATTAGTCTGTTTGGTTATAGTGGTGCTAGCAAGATTGAGGTTTGATGAGATTAAGTGATTAGGGTTGATGGGTGGTGTTTGTTCCTGGAAGAGAGAGTACTACTATGCTGATGAAAATCCCAACAGAAGAGGCGTCTCGGGGAGATACTTTAAAAGCCGGAGTTCCAAGTGGATGTGGATGGCATCCGCTTTCTTTCCACCCGTTGTGGATTGTAGAGGAAGAAGCACTTGTCCATCCCTTATGGAGTTGTGCATTCACAAAATCCGAGAGGTCGTGTAGTTTTGCTAAGTCTGATATATGAGGTCTAGGTTCATGGATATATATGGTTATTTTGCTATATATCCTTTAAGCTCTGTGCTTTTAACAGGATGTTAGCAAATTCGGTTCGTTTTCCATCTTGCCAAGGGATGTCAGCCAGCTGATATTCAATGACCTAGTTTATTCTCGCTATCTTTCTGCCAATTCGATTGAAGCTTTCAGAGATTGTGCACTGCAGGCAAAAATCTATCCTTGCTTTTGCCTAAAGTTTTTTAAAAGATTTCATTTGTGTATTAAAATTTGAAAACTTTTCGTTATTCTGAGTGGTCTTGACAGGATATGTTGCTCAAAGAGTATCCAGGAATCGAAGATAGTTGGATGGATGTCGTCTCTTCACAAGGCTCATCCTTACTCTCGCTCGATATTTCGAGCTTTGAGGTCACGGATTATTCGTTGTTTCTCCTCAAGAATTGCTCAAGCCTCCAATCTTTAGCTTTTGATTATTGTGATCTAATTACTGAAAAAGGGTTCGAGCAAATCAGCGGTAGTTTCTGTTCTACCTTTTGTATACTTCGATTAATACCTATGTAGTGCCTGCTAAAGGTGAGTGTATACTATATAATCTGGTCGTCAGGTTTCCAAAAGTTGACGTGTTTGGGTTTTAAAAATAGCACGGCCCTTACTGGTGAAGGAATGCGGTGTTTGTCGAGCTTAGTTAATTTGGTTAAGTTGGACCTGGAGAGGTGCCCTCGAATCCACGGAGGACTTGTTCATATTGAAGGTTTGTTATTTATTGATATAGGGATGAATGTGAAAAGTTGATTATAAACCTCTTTCTTGGATCACTTTATAAAAACTGTACTCTACTTTGGCAGGTTTAACCAGACTTGAATCTCTCACTATCAGATGTTGTAAATGCATAGTGGATTCCGACATGAAATCTCTTGCAGGTGTTATTGCCAAAAAACATGACTGATTTATACGATGTTGTTATCTTGCCGGTTCTCAATGTCTGATTTTCATGTCTCGAATTTCAGGCCTCGTCAATTTGAAGCAACTGCAGACTCCCTGTGTCAACATAACTGATGCCGGGGTGTTCTATTTGAAAGGTGACTAATTCCTCTTTTATCGTCAATCTTGAAATCCCATATGGCTAGTTTTTGCCATTGCTAGAACGGGTAAAGTCAAACTGTAACTTTGCTGTCCTTGAAAATTTACTCTTCAACAGTTGAATTAATGCAGTTTTACTCTTTTCCCAGGCTTGAGCAAGCTCGTTTTGTTAAACATGGAGGGCTGCCACATCACTGCTGCATGTTTGGATTATCTTTCAGGTTTCTTAATTGTCGTTTTCTTATGCTTTAAACTTGAATTAAGGGCAATGATAGTAAACATGTTGCTTGCATTAAGAAGAAATGAAGAATCTTTCTTTTCTTAGATTACTTTAGAATTAAGTAAGGCGGTGGTTGTTATTTCTTTTGCTTCTTGATTATATCGTAATTTTGTGCAGATCTTCCTTCACTTCAATATCTCAACCTATGTAGATCCGCCCTGAAGGATGCGGGCTGTGAGAAATTTTCGAGTGAGTTGATAGTCATAGAGGCTCTGCAGGCGAGATAATTCTGCATCTTTTTTTTACGGTTTTTGTCTATCTGCAGCACTGAGCAATTTGGAGGTGTTAAACATAGGATATAACGAAATCACGGATGAATGTTTGACCCATCTACAAGGTTGTCTCTCTTCTACAATGTAGTATTCATTTGTTTTACGATTTACACCAAATTCTTAGTTCGGTTATCCATATTGGCTATGCTACGCTGCAGGATTAACGAAGTTAGAAAGCCTGAACTTGGATTCTTGTAGGATTGGAGATGACGGGCTCGCTAATTTAGCAGGTATAGCTTCCATACTTCTTAAGATCGATTCTCGATTCTCGATTCTGAGCACCTCAACCGTCACTCTCTTGTGTCTTTCAGGCCTCGTTAACTTGAAGAATTTGGAGCTATCGGATAATAAAATTGAAAGCAATGGGATTCAGCATCTTTCAGGTTAGGCGTGTCGGTTATGGAAGTTACTAATACATATGAATGCGGTGGGAGTTCTAAACCGTTAGTTCGAGTTGCCAATATGTTTTAGGTTTGACAAATTTGGAGGATCTTAATCTATCGTTCACCTTAGTAACCGAGGATGGTTTGAGAAACTTGTCTGGATTAAGGTCTCTCAAGTCACTTAATCTGGACATTCGCCATATTACCGACTCCGGGCTTGCTGCACTTACCGGTAAGCTATAACTATTACATTTTTACTATGATTTCCCCCTTCTGGTAAGCTATTATCGCTTTAGTCCTAAATAAGTTTTTGTGCTTAATTGATTGCGTCTGGACTTCAATGGTTTTACGTAATTGAGTCCCCTGTTAGGCCTTCCTTGACTAAATCGAGAAAAACCACTATAGTTGATGACTAAATTAGCACTTTCTTCTGATGCAGGGTTAACCGGATTAACTCACCTGGATCTTTTCGGGGCACAAATAACGGATTCTGGGACTAAATATTTGCAATGTATGTTAAGTGTTCTTTTGCACCGCATTACTATCTGCTTTGAACCTATGGTTCCATAGGTTTTCAGTGTCGAATGAAACTCTCGTTTGGGTTCAATTCACATTGGTTCTTCAAATTACTGATCTGCATTGTTTTGAAAACAAAGTTATCCTGTCAGGGGTTGGAAGGATCCATTATAGCTCCCTCTCTTTTGGGGAAAAAAAATCAAAAAATGGTTTAAACACCCAAACCTCCTGTGTAGAATTTCATAAATTCTTTATGTTTCCATTAGATTTCAAAAATCTCCAGTCACTCGACATCTGTGGTGGCGGGTTAACCGACGATGGCATCAAGAATATGAAACATCTTTCGTCCTTGACGGTTCTAAACCTGTCACAGAACCTCGACCTGACCGATAAGACCTTAGAACACTTGTCAGGTACGCTTTCTGCTATTGGTTTTCAAGATTATCATGCTTGCTGGCTGGTGTAGTCTAGTTGAGTTGATGGATAGAAACGAGTCGTTATTTCCCTCGAACAAACATTGTTGCATTAGTCGATTCTAATGTCACATTGAGAAATGCAGGACTTACAGGGTTGGTGTCTCTAAATGTCTCGAATTCTCGTGTCACCAACGATGGCCTGCAGCATCTGAGGCCGTTAAAGAACCTGCGCTCGCTTTCTTTAGAATCGTGCAGCGTGACAGCGGACGAGCTCAAGAAGCTGCAGCTGAGCGCCCTCCCGAACCTCATGAAATTTCATCCCGAGCTCTGAAAGCATTTCCATGAAAGAAATGTTTTCTCGTCCCGACTTTCATGTTCAAATGGTGTAAATATAAACAGACAATAAGGCGAAAACACTCGCCCGCCCTCTGTGCATATATTAGCTTGAGTCGTGTGATACCAGCACCAAGTTGGTTAAAAGAGTGTCTTATAAGAAAGGTTTGTATGTACTGATAGGTGTGTGAAATAAGGAATAAAGGTTTGTATGTATTTCCCTGTAATGTACAGATGGTTCTATATTTATATACACAAGAAGTGTTGAGTTTATGAGTTTATCCCAAGAGTTTCAAGAGGCTTAGTAAATTTATAAGAGTTTGACAAAAGGACGAGTAAAACCTGCAACCACTACTACCTAAGGGTGTGTACTGAGTAAATCTCGTTTTGTAATTTTAATCGGTAAAGGATCACAAGAAGGTAAATCAACCTATCTGGTCGGTTTAAACCAACTTATAATTGATAAATCTTAAATTAAAGAGATGAAGTGTAGACCAAATGATACAAAATTTAGTGCATAAAAGTTGGGACAAGTAACAAATCATGGTTAACATAATAAAGGGACATAATGTTTATGTAATAGCACATCAAAAGAATGCAGTATATATATATAAGACTGCCTTCCTATAAAACTATAATCTGCTAAATCACACAAACCATTACAAACCAACTAAAATTTCCTATAAAAAAATGCAAAATGAAAACATATATGTGATTAGAATGTAAGAACAATCTTCTGTTGCCTGTCTGAAATGGATGCAATGAATAGGGTAAGATGATGATGATGATGATGCAGAAACAAACAAAAAGTATCTCTGCTACCCTCATCTCACCCAGAAATGAATAAAATGATGATTTCTTGTGATATCTGTAAAATATTCGCCATAACGAATTCAAAGGGCCACGGGAAAAAGATGTAAGCCAACGGGTGATGCAGATTGAAGACCTGCAGAAGCGGTGTTATGGGCCAAAACACACCAAAAGACTATATCCAGTCAATCAGTTAGTCGAACCCATGGCCTTATAAACCCATATACTCTCTCGTACCCATTATTATCAATGACACAAGCTCATGCAAGTTCAAGGGTATGATAGAGTTTGGAAACTCGTCGTCTAAGCAATGGTTCCAAACGGAAAGATGAAACGCCTCTCTGCCATCTTCTTGCCTCGTACATCTCGTTCCATGCTTGTACTATCTCGTCAATATTGAATCCTAGGCCTGAAAAAAACACTAAATTGTCAGTTGTACTAGAAACAATATTAGTCAGCGAGGTTAAGCGATATTATGGATCTTTACCTTCTGGAGCGGTGGTGTTGGAACAATGACTCTTTACCATAACAGCAATATCGGTTGGGGAAGCTCCAGCCAGTTCAAATTTTTCGACTGCAACCTCTAAAGATTCTTGCCAGACAGGCAACCCGAGTTTGAACTCCATTATGGATCTTTCGTAGAGCATGGAACCCCACAAAAGATTTATCTGAGACCTCATGTTTGCAGCCTGTTCTCCAACTTCAACTGTAGAAATATCTTTAAACAAATGCTCCATCTTCATTTCTTGCAAGAGGGTTTGCGTTTTGCTCGATTTGGACAGTTCGTTGTGATGTTGCCCCGCCTCTTCCTCCCACATCTGCATACCTCTTTCCATATTTTCCTCAGCGTTGTTGTAAAGTTGAAATACTTCTGTGGAAGGCCATGATTCCATATCGGCATTAGTGCTAATTGCATAGTACCAAGAGAGTTTTGCCCGTTCGAACTGTTGAAGCCCGAGAGCAAGAATGCCTTCATAGAAGTTCGGTTTGATCTTCAACGCTTCTTCATATCTTCTTCCTGCAGATGAGTACTCCTTTTGTGCCCAAACGTAGGCACATTTTACCTGTTCGAGAACAGATTCTCCTGAATTGTCCTCGGTTATGTAAACTCGTTTCCTTGCCCGAGACATGTGAACATTGCCCCAATTGAACAAAGCGAGAGCAGCCATTTCCTGGAACTTTTCTGCAGCTATAAGGAAAAGATCTTGAGCTTCTTCGCTTGTGACTGTCTCTTCCATAGCCTCGGAGTAGAGCTCCATTCCAGCTTCGTGCAGATCCAGATAAGTATCGCATTCAAATCCAACGTAATTCTTGAACAGATGAGCAAAATGAATGATCCAATCATCAATACAAGGTGGTCCATTCTGCAATTCTTGAACGTGATTTTGTTCCCAATCCTTCTCAAAGAAAGGATCTTGATCTGGATTAACATCTACGATATATAGCCTCACAGAACTGTGCTCAACAGATGCTTCTGCCCACCTTAACTCCTCGTTTGTTGTGATTGTCACTAAGTCGCCTTCTTGGTCCCTATATTTAATTAGAATGGATTTCGAACTTGGGAACCGATCACGTATAATCTCCCTCAGTTCCAAAATGGTGCAGTTAATAGGAATTTGGGCCCATCTTATGTCTTCACCAAATATCAATTTCACCATTCTTCTGGGCTGTTCTTCCAAGCTGTTTCTGTTACTTTTCATTTCTTCAACCACCAACTTATCTTCAGTTTTTCTCTCCTCGTCGCTGTACTCATCTTTCTTCTCCATCTCTTTGTCCTCAGACTTCTTTTCTTCGCTCTCGCCTTTAGCATTTGTTTCGTGAACTCCATTCACGACTGCTTTGTTATTGGCCTTCTCTACATTCTTGATTTTAGCCTTCTCAAGATGAACTCCATCTTCTAATTTGTCGTCACCTACTTTCACCTCTTCTTCGGGATTCATTTCATCAAATCCATACTCGTCTCTCTTTTCCTCGTTCTTATTCTTAGCCTTCTTTTGTCCAATTTTGTCTCCGGATTTGGTTTCAACAACTCCATTTTCAACTTTCTTGTTCTTGGCCTCCTCCTCCTCAACACTATCTATTTTGTTGTTTTTCACCTTTCTCGCCTTCTCTTTAGAAGCTTTTGAAGAGCTTGAGACGAAAACCGGTTCAACATACTCAGGTACTGGAATCAAATCTATGGAAACCTCATTTTGCCCGACGCCTTTTTGCTCAAATGAAGCCTTCTTCACCCTGTCTGCAATCTCAGTAGCCATAAGATTATTCGGTTCCATCTGCAACACTCTACTAACATCTCTCAGTGCCAAATCGAGCCTATTCAAAGCCTCATAACACCTAGCCCTCTTCAAAAGCGCCTTACTATACTTGGGGGTAACCTCGAGAGCCAAATTACACTCGTGAATTGCCCGAGGATATTCACTCAACCCCATCTGCATATAACAAGCAGCCATATTGCTCCGGAGGTGGGACACATCTATATGGTTTCCTGGGAGCAATTTGATAGCTTTCTCATACTTGAACATCGCCCCCTCGTAATCCCTTTGCTGAAACAACCTATTCCCCTCGTACTTCAATTCCTGGGACATCGAAATGAACACAGCTGTGTCCTTATCATACAACCTTGTGCTATTCACACTACCTTTGTTTTTCTTCACATTAGAACCACCAGATTTAGCTCCTATTGGTTTTCTCACCTTTTCGCCTTGCTTCCCCATATTAAACCCCCCAAGATTCAACTTTCAGAAGCTCAAATTGCCTAATAAGTACAACAGATTTGAACTAAATCCAATGCCAAACCACTCTGAGGATAACCTTACCAAATCCCAATCCTTCACATACAAAACCACCCCAGATTCGTTACTACTGAAACATCAAACTAATCAAAACCAGTACTGATAATAAATCCCAGACAACCAAAGTAATTCTTCAATGACAAGGAATTAACCTAAAAGACTGAATCTTTTTAACACCCTTAAACACAAAATGCTATTCTTGAATCTTGAATATACAGCAGAAAACAAGAATCACACAACAGAAAACCAATAATTTCTTCTTTTTTTTTAGGGGCTTCCCTTCTTTCAGATAAGGATTTATTGCAGCTAAATACGCAACCCTAGACAAATCCCAACTGAGGTAACAAAGGAAATGAAGAGATCAACTAGAAGTACCTAAGGATTCGGCTGCAAACAACTCGTTTAATGAACAAAGATTTTTGCTTTTTGTTTTCTGTTTTTTTTTTTTTTTTTTTTGGGTTCTGATGGAGTGAAATTCAATCAAAGCATAAAGAACATAATGTGGGAAAAAGAAGACTTATCTGGAAAAATTTCAGCTTTATTCTTGCTGACCTTTCAAATGCAGAGAAGTGTATGCAGAAATGCTAAGAAAACAGTTGGAAAAAACCTCCACCAAACGTCTCTCCTTCAGGAATAATATATAATAATAAAAATAATAAAGTTGAATTTTACACCTTAACGTAAAAGCCACACACACAAAACTTTTTTAAAAAAAATTAAACACCAAAATATTAAGTAGTTGCAATTTCGTGTTTTTTTAAAAAAATTAATATTTTTTTAAGACAACGCCAACAAGATAAGTGGGGCCTGCATTTTCCGTGTATTCCAAGATTGTGGGGGAGGTTTCCCAGAACCTAAAATGGAATACATTATTAAAAAGGAAATATATAATTACATTTTGTAGAAGACTTCAATTCTTTTTATGATTGTCTTGTCTTCTTATGTATGTCTCTAATCTTTATATACGGAGTAATATATAAGGGCAATCTCTAAAAGTAAGATAAAGATGAGATTATTGAAATGACTATCATGCTAAAGTTTTCACTTAAAAATGAGTTTTTTAAACAAAAAACAGTAAGGTATGAAGACTGATTTAAAAAATACATTTTTGAGGTTTCTTTTTAAGAGTGGATTTAAATTTATACTCTTAAATTGTTAGTATTTTTTTAATTGTAAAATTTTAGGTCATATTTTCATATGAAATTATTATTTTTAATTACTGATCCACAAGTTAAAAATTTGTTAATACCAAATTAATTTACCTAATTAAAAATCATATTAAACCAAATATGCTCAAATCATTATGATCAATCAATAATATAAACTTAAACAATATTTGTTAGAAGTCAACTCTATATCAACTAGCTCAACTCCACATCAACACAAGCCTACAAAAAATTAACTATCAAAGTTGTTAGATTAGTTGTAAAGTTATTAAGTGTAATTACCATCTTCCTATCTCCCTACTCTAGATGTAGTTGTTGTCTCTCATTTAATGCATTAATAAAATCACTTCTTCTTCCCTTCCATCCATGCTCACAATATTTCTCCTGCTCTTCTAGCTACTTTAAAATGGTATACGATAATGCATCTTGTGAAATACAATGGTTAACCTACTTGCTTGAAGCATTAGAAGTTGGAATGCAGTCTTCATCTCTCTTATTCTTTGCTAGCAAATCTGCTATTGCCATAGCTAAAAATTCGATATCCCATGAATGCACCAAGCACATTGAGATGAATTGTCATTTTGTACGAGAAAAATTACAACAGAAAATCTTCAAGTTATTACAATAGACAACCGACTTGTTAATGTCATCACCAAAGCTCATACTCCATCTAGCTTCTATGGCTTTATATCCATGTTGGCCATTCATAACATGTAATCATGTATGCTTCAGCTTGACGGGTGTCATAAGTCAATTCCAAATCAGCTAGCTCAACTTCACATCAACATAATCATGCTTCTAAAAATTAGTAATAATAATAGTATGTAATAAGTGTCATAATAAGTCTTTGTATTCATTATTTATATGTAAATTAATCATTTTAAAATAAGTTAAAATAAATAAAGTTTGTAAAATATTTAATTAAAATCTTTTATTTATGATCTATGAGGCATGTACAATGATTAACTGCGAGCAATCATTTGATCACACATGGGGGTGTTCTTCCAACTAAATAAACTTTCAGTTTAGTGCCTTTTTGGTTTCTGATATTTGTAGGCCTACCATATACATGAATTATATGAAATTGTACCCTTTTATTTAAAAGTTTTGTTGGTGAAAAAAAAAAACTCCGATGTTTATATATATATATATATATATATATATATATATATATATATATATATATATATATATATAATTAGGGTGTCCATGTGCGGTTGTGCAATTTAATCTGGGTCATTCATCTAGCTTAAATCAACGTCCAGGATTGTCAAAATTTAAAAAAATAACGCGGTGGTAATTTTGTAATTTTTGCATCTAGATCAAAATTAAGGTGAGCGGATCTGTGATTAATGTGCGTGAGTTTTGTATATAAGATGCGTGAGGTTTGCGCGTAAGGTGCGTGAGTTTTATGCTTAATGTGTGTGGGGTTGTGCTTAACGTGAGTAGTTGTTAAAACTTAAAGTGTGGACTTTTGTGTTTAAGGTGCGTGAGATTTGTTCTTAATGTGAGTGGAGTTTGTGCTTAATGTGCGTAGGGTTTGTGCTTAATGTGTGTGAGGTTAGTGATTAATGTCAGTAATTGTTGAAACTTAAGGTCTGTGAGTTAATATTTAAAGTGCGTGGGGTTTGTGCTTAATGTGTGTAAGGTTGTGCTTAATGTGCGTGGGTTTGTGCTTAATGTCAGTAGTTGTTGAAACTTAAAGTCTGTGAGTTAATATTTAAAGTGCGTGGGTTTTGTGCTTAATGTGCGTGAGGTTGTGCTTAATGTGTGTGAGTTTTGTATTTAATGCGCGTGAGGTTGTGCTTAAGATCTAACATAAGGTGCGTGTTTCTATCACTTAAGGTGCACCATTTTTAGCTTATGCTACTTTCTTCCAGACACGCGCGCATTTTTTTTTTTTAATTTTTATTGATTTGAGCCGTTGATCTAAATTTGATCAACGGCTCAGATCTAACTGCACGGGAAGCTATACCCGCACGGGAAGCTATACCCGCACCTGAACCCTTCCCTATACATACATATATATATATATATATATATATATATATATATATATATATATATATATATATATATATATATATATATATATATATGAGTTTAATTTAGAAATTTTAGTTTATGAAAAGACATTTTTATACATTATAAGTTTTAAAAATGATTTTATGGTTTGGTTTTTTAAAAAGTTGTGTTACAACTCTACAATTTCAGGTTATGTTATATTTTCTCATGAGTGGAATATTTTGATCAGACATTTTTATCACAAGATACAAATATTTAACTTTAAAATTTTCAAATTTCAAAAACTTTGAAAAAATTGTTATGAATATTTTGATATAACTGTCACCCGACATAAAAATATGATATTAAATGGTAAAAAATTAAAGGTTTTGATATAATTGTCAACAAGACATAGAAGTTTGATTTTTATTTTTTTTAATTAAGAAGCCAATTTAAAATAATGGATCATAATTTTCTTCAAATTATATTTTTTATTTGTTGACATAATAACTTTACATAATAATTTACTTTATGATTCGTGAGTCTAACCAAAAATATAAAGTAACCATTATACTTTCCACTTGCTACTTCATTGATTAAAATATTTGATAAACTTTTTTATTTAAATAAGGTTTTCCTTTTTACAAACACAAAAATGAGTATTTACTATTTAGGCAGTGTGTGTATCGATCGGTGTATTTATGTAATCATGGAATGTGTGAAGTTGATTAGAATTTCTTAGAGGGAAAATTGATATTTGCAAAATTGTATTTATGTCATTTCAATTTTATATGTACTTATCATGTTATTAGTTAGATTATTAATTATTAATATTAGGTAGTCTTTACATTCGATGTTGTCTAAAAAAGAAACCATGTTCAAAGTAGTAGTTAGGCGAGTTAGATGGATGACCTCTAACTTGTTAGAAAAGTAGGGAGAAAAAAAGCATATAAGAAAGGACAAAACATTTCGTTGATATTATTATATGGAAGATATTTCTATAACACTTTAAAAATTCACATTAAAATAATGTATTAGGGTGGCACTATTTTTTTTTTTTTTTTTTTGTCCATGATTTGGATCCTATGTGGGCAAGAAAGAACATTCTAGAAATGCATTTTAAATCCTGTAAAAAAGTTAAAATGTTTTATAGTTTTATACTAGTTCAAAGATACAAATATCAAATTTTTTCACCTATTATTTATTTGGTGTATATAAATTTACAAAATTTATCACCTTAACTAAGAGAATGCAAATCCACTTTGATTGATCCAGTTCAATTATAAAACCTCATCTAAAATAAAGCCTCAAAGTAACTTTTCACTATCTTTCATGTTAAAGTTTTAATATGTTGTTCAGTAAAACATATTTATAAAAAAAATAAAAATAAATAAATAAATAAAAAAGGAACCAATACACATATTGGATTCCCAAAAATAATGTGACAGGTCCCCTTGGCTTGCACATGCTTATTGAGAGCATTCCTGATGGAAATAGTCCCTTTTGTTTGACATGTTTGCTCACTTCCTTTTGTATGAATAAATAAATTTAAATTGTTTAAGTTGTTATCTTGATAATCATAATGTTACAAATTTAACTTACAATAAAAACGGTCTATTAACTTTTTTGGTTTGAATCGGTCAGATATAGACAATCTAAAATTCTAAACTAGTTTACCTCCTTGTGATTCTTGACCAACAATAATTATAAGATGAGATTTACCCCGTACACATGTAATTGCGAGTTTATCGCATCATTCAAAAATAATAGTAAATAAATAAAACAACTCCGACAAAGTTTCGGAATTCCTCATAGAGTTCTAGATTAGATCAATTAATGAATATTTTTTTTTTAATGAATATAAGTGTATGGGATTATTAATTATATATAATATTACAAAATTTAACAAGCAAAACACTTGTGTTATTATTGTTTTGCCAGCTCACAAGTTTGCTTCTTGCGTTGCTTGACACGACTTATTATACTTGTAAGCAAGCAAGCAACTTTGTAACGGTATTCAAATTTTATTATAAAAATGAGGCAAAGCAAGTTGGGAGTGTTTATGTTTAATAATAAGAAGTTTTCAAAAAAAAAAAATGTTTAATAATAAGAAAAGAGAAGAAAAGAAATTAGGCGGAGAGGGAAGTGCGGTGGGCGTGGGGCACACGCCTTTTTGCAGCCACTAAAAGAGAAGCGGCACGTTACCTGTAGAGAGAGAGAGAAAGAGAGAGAGAGCACGTGAACAAAAGTGGAAGAACCCTACGACTCTGGTGGGACCCAATGACCAATACCTACTTTCTTGTACTATTCTATTCTCACAACCCATCTTAAGTCTTAACTTGCGACTAAGCTGTTAACGAACCGAATATAAACGAACGAAGATTGTTTGTGTTCGTTTGTTAAGATTTTTAGAGTGTTCGTATTCGTTTATTAAGCGTTTGTTAGTATTTGTTAACGTTCGCGAACATGTTCTTCAACATTAACGAACACGTTCACGAACATGTTTGTTAACATTAACGAACACATTCACGAACATGTTCGTTCACGTTCGTGAATGCTTAATAACCAAACATATGAACGAACATGTTCATGATCGAAATTCGTTCGTGGACATGAAATAATATATGTTTATGAAAAATAACCAAACAAGTAACACAACTACAAAAAGAATACAAACAAATATTAAACGAACACAAACAAGCATGTTCACGAACATTATTAAACAAACACTAAACGAGCTTGTTCACGAACATTATTAAACGAACACAAACGAGCTTGTTCATGATCTCTTAACAAACGAGCTTACAACTGTTCAGACTCTGTTCGTTTATAAACCGAGCTCTAAATTTTGTTTGTTAATGTTCATTTACCTTAATAAACGAACATAAATGAATGCTTACCGAACACGAACATGAGTAATTTACCGAAAGCTCTGTTCGCTAACACCCCTACTTGCGGCAACAAGGATAGAAAGACACACGCCTCTCTAGATTATTATTCATACTCCTTTCATTTTTATTTTTATTTTTTGTTAAACTATGGTTTCGATTTTGCTAGATTATATCCTGAATTCTATGAATTTACCTTTAAACTTATAAAAAGGTAAATCGTACAAATCAAACTTTAGATTTAATACAAAATTGCACACTTATATATACAAGAAATTTAAAACAAACTTTCAATATTCGTAGCAAAAATTGAACTCTACTCAATGATTTAGTAACAATATTTAAAAGAAGAAGAATTGAACTCTACTCTACGTAAATATTAAGTGAGACTTTAAGCTTTCGTTTTTAATTTTCAACTATTGTGTCATTATCATATTTATTTAGGTCATATTATATTAAATTTGTCTTATTATATCTGTAATTTTTATTTAATACCCTAACTCGTTTCATTTTATTTGATTTGTGATGACTTTTGCTATTTCGGAAATAAAACATTCTACACAAGCCACCGCCAAGAGTCCAACACCAAACGAGGAAGCCTGACCTTTTGCTTTAGTTATCGCCCAATGCCCATCGGATCTTCTTTAGTTGAATTTTAATTTTATTTTTTATTTTAAAATAAAAGTTTATATTAAAATAGAGGTGGTTATACCGTCTGCATTAAATAAAGTTTACGGATACATTTTATATGTACACATAAAAAAAAATTACAATGTCAAAAAATAAAAATAACAACTATTATGAATATAAACAACATATAGGGTATACTGTTAGATATAAAATTATACTGACATAAACGGAAGGAAACTTAAATCACAAGGAGCATAACCTCATAACAACAGAAGCTTTAGGATTACTTGAACATCTCTCTCTATAATTGATATAATCGATTTGTCTTTTTCGAATGAAAAATCTGCAGAGTAATGTTAGCTCGTTTTGTCCTATATATAATTAAAAATCTTAGATGGTGTATTGAGATTATTCTTATCAGTACGAGTACATAAATTAAATATGCCATATAATGTATATCCTATATCCCATCAATATAAGCTTCTATATAGACATAATTTTTAAGTCTAGTCAAATTGTAACCTTGATCCTTGTAAAGTGATAGTTTTCCTTTCACTATGTAAAAAATTGTATCACATCCATCATATATATTCACCATCACAAAGATTTCTCAAAATCATCATCACATTAGGAGTATAAACCATTTATACCTGGAAAAGCTGTAAAAACTCCCATCTCCTTGTTTAACTCACATTTACAAGCTGCTTCGTTAACGATTTTAAAACTCACGCGACCTCAAAAGTTATTGCACAGTACTCAAGGCCGAGTCGACCAAAAAACAATCGGCAATCTGAAAAATGAGCACGACGAAAGGTCATCACAGAAGAACTCAAGGAACGCAAGTTACAGTCTACCTCAATGAGTTGCAGCACCGGCAGACTCCAGTATAGGCGGATCTTTACTGAAGGATTCCCAGTCAACTTCTCTGAGCATTTTAAATCTTTCGTCCAACGGTATAAACCCAACTTGAGATGCTACAACGCCTGAATTACCAGCTTTATACAGCAAAACAATACTCGACCCGATATCAGGGCCGTGAAGCTTTCCAGTTAGCAAGACCCTAAGGGGCATGAACAGAGATTTTCCCTGGCACACAAAATAATAACGAAAAGAGACTCGTATATCAACTTACATAGGCTAAAAGGAATTTTACCACAATCTCAAGATCTCACGTTCTCACCTTCCGCTTCAGTGATTTACCAAAGCTCTTTACCCACTTCTGCCACCCGGGTTGGCCTTCTTCAAGTGCACCAAAGAGCTCCCCACTAGAGTAGGCAGCTACTAAGCTCTCCGCAACTTCAGAAAGTCGATCTTCAAGAACAGGTTTTCCTTCAGGACTGCAAAAATGAGGTAAAGGGTCACTAAAATTACTTTGTGAACTGACGTTTTCTTAGAATCATTTTTTAACTGTATATACTAGAGTAGAATAGATGGCAAAAAACCATGTAACTTAGGATAGAAAATTTCATTTCTTCAGTAAGAAGTCAAAACATTACAAACACCATTATGTACAATGATATGTCATATAGCATTTTGTCACAATTTTGCCACGGGAATTAAAGAATCACCTTGACAAGGTTTCATGAAAAGGATAAGATAGTAAGTTTGAAAGAGCTTTCTCTGAATCGCTTATCAAGTCGATTCCGTCCTTCAATAGCTGGACAGCCTCCTGTTTATACAAAAGTTCAGGAGTAAGATGCCTTCATTTTTCCAAAAAAAAAAAAAAAAAAAAAAAACATTTTTTAATAATACAGATCAAACAACTTTGGAAAAGCTTTTCCCTGAAAAACATTTTCCTTTTTCCTATTTTTTTTTTTTAAAGCAAAGTGAACAAGGGCATTGAATTTTATGGAAAAACCCTACTTGTATGAAATCACCCCCTGATTCTGTAAGAATGCCAGCATCCTTCCAGCAGCTACCAATGATTTGTATTAACTCTTCTGATGGTAGAGATCTCAAATGTTGGCCATTCATCCACCTAGGTATACATTTACATTGGAAAAGTGTCAAAAAGCCAAAACATATTACAAAGCCTAGCTAACAAATAAATCTCAGATTATAAAAACTAACAAGTTGAGAAGAAATAACACATCTAAACAGTATCATAAAAACATGTGTTCCTGCAATCCTCTAAAAATGCAGATTAAGAAATCAGAAGCAAATAGCTGAAGAAAAGCATTACCTTAACTTTGTGGAATCAAAAATGGCACCAGCTTTATTTACACGTTCAATTGTGAACTTTTCAACTGCAAATCACATGAGAGTTTCAGGCCATTTACACTTGTGCAGAACATTAACAGGTAAAGTCTACCCCTCTTCAGACCAAGATGCAAGATGTATGAACAGTATTAAAATAAAGGAGACTAACCAAGTTGCTCAAGGGTGAAAAATTCATTTTCAGTACCATCACCCCATCCCAACAGTGCAAGATAATTTACCATAGCCTGAGGCAAATAACCCATCTCCTTGAACTGTTAAAAGAAGAAAACAAAACAGCAATAGCGTTCATTCTTCTTATGGGGACAAAAGGAGAGGATAAAATTTGCATGGTCTTTGACACTATCACTGAACCAGAAATGAAAATCATATCTTAAACAGGAAAAAAAAAACACTAAATGATGTGTAAATCAATTACCTGACCTACTGAAGTTGCACCATGTCGTTTCGAAAGTTTACTTCTATCTGGAGCAAGAATTAAAGAAACATGTGCAAAGGAAGGCATTGGAAAACCAAGGGCCTGCACCATGGTGACATTGAAGTTACAGCCACTTTGTCAACACAACAATAAAAACCAAGGGACCAAAAAGGCAAAAACTTAGAAGCCCTAGACTCAATGTAACAATAAAGGAGGGAAACTATTAAGCAGCAAGTGGAGCAAGAGAAGATGAAGTACCTTATAAATTAAAGCTTGTCTTAGAGTGTTGGGTAAATGCTCTTCTGCTCTGAAGCAACAAGAGAAGTGAAGAACAGTAAATTCATGTAAATTGGAATGAGATTTAGGAAAGCAATTTAATCATTTACCTTATAACATGTGAGATAGCCATGGTAGCATCATCAACAGTGACACAGAAATTGTATACAGGTTGTCCATTACTTCTCATGATAACAAAATCCCCAAGAGTGTCTAGATTCCAACTTACCTTCATGATTCCATCAAACAAAATTATAGTCCACCATAGCAAGAGTGAATTTACAGTTCAGAAAGTGATCCAATGATCCTCTTCAAGTAGGATCAACAATAAGGCATTTAATATCAACTTACTATTAGTTCTGTCTCAAAGTGAAACATTACTGGTCATTAGAAGGTCATATTAAACGTCTGCTTTCTACTGTTTGTTTAGTTTTTGACACATTTGTTCTGTGACTTCTGTCAAACACTTGGAAAAGCCTTTGGAAATATCTCATATCTTAACCCATGACTAATTAAGAAATCCAAAATATGTTTTTAGTTTACTCTTTATTGTCAATACAAAGAGGAAGAAAATAAACATTTCCATGAAGCTAAGTGTAACAATAAAATCCCAACAACAAATGAAACAGAAATTTCAAAAGCATCAGTTTCATGCTTACAAGCCTGCTAATGTCACTTTTTAAAAAAAGTTCTTACCATATTCACAAAATATTAGCACATTAAATTGAATGAAAAATCTTATCATATTCACAAATATAAGATACCAATTGTGCCTTGTACTTTTGACTTTTAAACTTTCAGACATGTACTACATTTTCATGTAATCTACCATACTGATTGGAAAATACTTCCCAATCACAAAAAGAAAAAAAAATAAAAAATAATAATTACCAAAACCATTTATTTACCACACTACTTGCCCACTGTGGATGTTTCCAGGAATCATAATTGTGAAAGGTACACATTTAGGTTAACAAAATGAAACTTAAAAAGTTCTGGTTGCAAACAAACTCCAAAAATTACTAAGGTTTTACAATCTTTTCTACAGAAATAACACTAGATACTTAAGTGACTCACATGTGATTGTGAATTTCTTATTCAACTCTAACTGATATGGACAAAGGAAATCAATGAAGATAATTAGGGGAATCCAGAGATTGATTCTTCCAAATATTTTTGATTGATTATTATTTTGAATTTGGTTCTATACTTCTATTTCCTTTACAAATGTTTCGAAGGTTTGGTTATTTCCTTTTCAGTTTAGGAGTACTGCTTATGTATCCCGTTATTCCCGTCTATATAAATGGGATTTATGGGCTAAATAAACACAACAGAATTAAGTCAAAATCAAGGAGAAGGAAAACTCCCCAAAATTCCAAGTTAGTTTCCCGGTTCATTTCGGCATATCAAGGCAAAACAACATTTTTTCAGCATTGAAGAAGGTTTGGAGATGCTGAGTATTAAGAGAACTCATTCGGTTTGTTTTTCTCCTATAGAAAAACACACAATTTTGATAAACAAATGCAAACAGGAAGGAATGAACAAAAACTACAAAGAGATACTATGTGAACAAAGATGTAGAAACAGTTTCAGAACATCACAAACCTCACCACGGATGAGGTCGTCAATTTTCAACCTCCCTTCACTAGGTACTCGAAACCGATAGGTATATGGGGTCCCCTTTTCCAACTCTTCTTGCACTTCCTCTTCAGTGGCACTGGCCCATTTTCCTGTGTATACTGGAGGCAACTGCTTCAATTTTGCTATCTCTTTCATTTTCTCTAGTTCCTATTACATTTAAAGATATAAGTGGATAAAATAGTAGATATTAACAAAAAGCAATAATAAAATTCTTAAAAATCAATCTCTAAATGCACATAATCATATAAACACATTAAAAATGTCTTTGGATCTATGCAAGAAAACCAAGATAAAACTAGTAACCAGTTTAAGATGGAATAGCAATTGAAAACACCATTCCCTGAAATTGGTTTACTATGCAGGATCCTAAGAAATATATATGGGGAAAAACTAATTTTGTGAACTGCTGCCCTATTGGGTGCTTCAGTCTCTAAATTGCAACTTTATGCCCGAGCATAATACCTCATTAGAGCAGAAACAGCGGTAAACATGACCAGATTGTAAAAGTTTTTCTGCATATTCCTTGTAAAGTGAATTCCTCTCGGACTGCCTGTAAGGACCATAGTTTCCACCAATGCCAGGACCTGCACCAATCCACAATGTAAAAGTGAGTCCAAGAGACCCGAAAAAAGGAGTAATTTCTTCAGTTTCTGATTGATCGGAAAAAGGGTTAGAGAACAATCACTGATGTTTCAACAAGACAAAAGATAGAGATTTTGTGGCTCAAACAGGGCGGCATTGTTAAAATTAGCAGGAAATTGAAAAGCATTACACCTTAGTTTGAACATAAGAATAGATACCTAGAGGGAGTAAGACAGCTTACCTTCATCCCAATTGAGACCAAGCCAAGAAAGATCAGAAAGCACGGCTTCCTCCGACTCCCTTGTTGATCTTTCCAAGTCGGTGTCTTCAATTCGGAGAATAAACTTCCCACCCTTGGACCTGTCACAATATCACAATTACAATCAAAAGTGGATAACATAAGAGAATCAAATCAAATAGAGTTTGCCTACTTAGTACGCGTCCATTTTTCGATCATATGGCAAGGAAAGAGGCAAAACTGACCGGGCAAATAGGTAATTGAAAAGAGCAGTTCTGGCACCTCCGACGTGGAGATTTCCGGTAGGCGATGGAGCAAAACGAACCCGAACTTCCTCTCCTTTTGCTCCTCTATTCAGAGGAGAGTAGGTTTCTGTAGATGAAGCAGAAACTGAGAACGCTCTCTTCGGGAAGCAGTGATAGTAGACACTCTGGCTGTTCTTTGCACTGCCATTGCGACAGTAAAGCGATGATTGGCGGAAAATTGGCGGCGCCACCTCCTTAGGTATCAGACTGATTCTTATCCATGGCACTCCCACCACCAGCATCGCCGCCATTAGACCTCTTCTTCTTCTTCTATTCTGTTTTCATTCAAAGAAAGCATATATTGTTGTTACTTCGCGCATAAAGGAAGTAACATCGACTGCCAGATAAGGTTGCAGCAGTAGTCGTTGCACGAGACCAAACAAAAGTTCTTTTTTTTTCGGAATAAGATTCAAATTGGCCACTGAACGTAAGTTGAAAATGTAATTAGGCCACTGAACGAAAATAAAGTGCAATTAGACCACTGAACACTCTAAAAATGTGCAATTTCACCTGATAGCATGTTACTCTCAATTTTAGCAGGTTATCTGCTTACGTGGCAGCTGAGTTGGCATTTTTAATAAATTTTAATAATAAATTTTTATTTAAAAAAAATTTAAAAAAATAAAAACGACTTTATTTTATTTTTTATTTAATTTTTTTTAATTTTTTATAAAATTTATTATTAAAATTAATTATTAAAAATTATTTAAAAATTATTAAAAATGCCAACTCAGCTGCCACGTAAGTAGGTAACCTGCTAAAATTGATGGTAACCTGCTATCCGGTGAAATTGCATACATTTGGAGAGTTTTTGGTGGCCTAATTGCATTTTCAGGTTACGTTCAGTGGCCAATTTGAACCTTATTCCTTTTTTCTCTTTTTATTCCTTTTTTCTCTTTTTTTTTTTCTTTTTAAATGTCATTTTGGTTAGGTGTTCAGACTTCAGATGTCTTTTTAAATGGCATGTCCAATTAAGTTGCAATTATTATTGTGTCGATCACGGTCTAAAATTATATAAAATTTATTATTTTAATTTATAAAATATATTATTTTATTTTGAAATGTTCATTATTTTAATAGGCGTGCAAAGTTTTTTTTTTTAACATCAAACGACGTCGTTTTAGACAATGGTCCACACAACTGTGCGTGTGGAACATAATTTGCCATTAAGTTAATTTACCATTATATATATGTACAGCTAATTTTGGCACTCTAAAAGCAATTCTTACACCCACTGTCCATCGTGTAAAACTGAAATCCCTCAAATACTCTTCAATGAAGAAAAACTTCACACAGATAACCCCTAATAGCTTTATGAGATATATACTACTCCTGTAGAGAGATTCCCACTTCCCATGGTTTGATAAACAAGAGTTGTGACCACACAGACTACTTATAGTCTTACTTTGCAGAACTTAGCAGTGTGAGATACTGTGTTATTGCTTCGCCTTCTTTCGTGATATCAAGGTCATAGTCAGAGTAAGCATCTCCTCTTAACAGTTCACCAGTAAGCTCGTCCTCTATTTCCACATCGCGTTCCTCCTCTTCTTTGCTGTGGCTTGGACCGGTTGAATCTGCATTACTACCTGATGCATCTGCGTCAGCACCCACGCTGTCTCCACCATCCTTGTTCGGTATGGGAGGATTCCCATCTTCACCGCCATTATTGGACAATGAAGAAGCACTTTCATCGGTAACCATTGCAGAACTGCTATTGGATTGCCCGAGTAGATGATTTAGTGCAGCTTGTCTTGTGCCGAAAGTTCGGACAGCTGTCACCACTGAATTGTAAAATGTTGAAACAAAATGTTATCTCAAGCACTATATAAATCCATGAAGTTAAAGCTTTGAGAATGAAGAATTCCATTTCATGGTGCTAAAAAACCTCTTTCTCTTGGGAAACCCATGGCTACAAGCTGTTCAATTGTAGCATTTTCTTCTTGACGCAGCCTTTTCTTTTTCTTTGACTCGATGTGAAGCTGGATATATATATATAGAAAAGAAATGAGGAAATTGTTGTAGTTCATACAAAGCAAAACAAAACCAGAGCCAGTCATACAAATTCCGGATGCATACAGATATTGTTGAGCATATATAATATATAAACATAAATGTGCAATCCAACTGTCAGCTTAGGCTTTTAGTTGAAATGGAACACATGCTTAAACTTGGTATCAGAGCCAACCCCATGCCAAAGGACACCCAATAAAAAAGAGACTATGGTCCACATATTGCTTGGAGCCCGTCAAAAGTAACCATGAGGGGGCGTGTTGATCATATATAATATATAAACATAAATGTGCAATACAACTGTCAGTTGAGGCTTTTAGTTGAGATGGAGCACATGCTTCAATTGATATCGCTAAAAGAATACTTACCTGTATAGCAGAATTAGCTTCTGGATTAGTCAGGTCGTCCAGGGCCTTCTGTGTGTCGTTTTCATTTCTTCGAAGCGCTTCTGCAGCAAGCTCTTTCTCAAACCTACAAATATTGGTCATCGATGATGTATAAAAACCAACCCCTATCATGGTTATTAAACCGCCAATGCAGTTTCCTTTTAGAAAAGTAACCACAATATTTGGTTGAAGTTGTTTAGGAACATAAAGAAGTCCCTTCAACTCAATTATACTAATTTCCTTCCCAGGAACCTGTGCCGATACATTAAAATTTATAAATTCTTAATGTAGAAATTAAGCTAGTTCAAGTCATACCAACTTATACATACCCAATTGAAACCAATTCATAGAGATACTGGAGATTGACAGCTTTTTTGAGAGGAGTCATTCCATAACACTTTTGCTCCCTGAAATTCATGGCATACAAAGCTTAGAATTCTGAGCTAAACACAATGGAGGAAAATTTGAGATAACAAAATTCAACTAACAGGATCTCTCTTTGCCTACGAAGATCCTCATCCCGTTTGCTTGCTGCTTTCTCTTTCTCCTCAACAAGAAAATTAACAGCACTTTGAACATCTTGATTGTTCATACGCAGTGCTTTCTTTGCATCACCTTCTTTATAGCCCATGCTCAAAAGTAGCGACAGTGCTTCATCTGGAATTTGAAGCTATTTAAAGACAAGGCAACTGTTTTAATAGGGAATAGAGATGGAGGAATGAGATGGAAGTTCTATTTTTATGTTAATGAAGAAATTAAGGAGAACTAGATATATAAAATTTTTTTAAAAAAAAGGTAAAATTGGATGATACTAGAAAGCATGAGAACTAGATAAATACAAATTTCAGTTTCTTTTTACAGACTCCACTCTCCCCTCTCCCCTCTCCCTACCCCACACCCCACCTAGTAAACAGAAACCACTCTAGCTCACATATTTACAGAAGAATAATTGAAAGAGGATATTTTATGTTTTTTTTTTCCTAAATGATGGCATAGAAACCTCAAAGAGAGTATTAACAAATTTATAAATTAACTCAGGCTAACCTGGAAATATTTCGCTTGTGCAGAACTCAAAGACTGTCTAGCTTTTTCAAACTGACCACTGTGATATCCAACGACTCCTTCTAACAGCTCCAGTCTTACATGTCTAGAGACAATAAATTAATATAAAAGAACACCAATCAAAATACTAAATTAAGCTATATTCTGCTGCCAAATTTGATATTAACTTAATCTATACATCAAAGGGCATACTCACAGGGAAATCTCAGGATAGCGCCCCCCTTGAAGAAGTCTAACACGACTAGCTTCCTTCCCATGAGCACGCTCAAGCCCTTCCCTGGCTTTTGCAAGGCGGATGCCTGCAACTGAGAGCCAGCTGATGTCTTGGAGCATAAAGTAACACCACACCAAATCTATTTGCAGAATGGCTACATTATCAACCATCTGAAAACCAAAGAGGATGGCCAGGAATCATGAGAAGATGGCTAAAAGTAATTATGCATAAGTCAGGGAATACTACATACCATAAGAAATCTTTTAAAGAAAGTAGTCGTTTATGGCTCTGACTATTACATTTTTTTTTTTTTGAAAGGTGACTATTAATTTAATAGCATTGAAATTATGTTCAATATTCACTTTAAGGTATACTTGCTAATTACAAGACGAGAAACAAATTTTCAACAGTTTTTCATAGTAACAAATAAAAATAAATCTTATATCATGGATTAATGTGGAAAATGAAATGACAACTCACCTCAATAACTTTAGGATTGCAAAGAGAGAAGGCCTCCTGTAAAAAGAAAATGTTATTTGATTATGTAATTTCAGTAATAGCTGGGTAAATTTTTTAAAAATAACTAATATATCAAACAACTGGCCATAGGAAGAGAAAGAAATGTTATTTGAGTAGTAATAGCCGAGTATTGTTTTTCTTCCAGGTTGAAACAGCACCAAGCTAGATTGTGGCTAAAAAATGTATAAGCAACAAGCCCTTATTATAATTCAGCACATAGCTGTAATGAAGCAACTCTATCTAAATCCTAAACTAAAAGCTTAGGGGGTTGTTCAAGGGAGATTCAGTTATGACAAGTTCTGTAAGCCAACCTCCCCCATGGTGAGAACCTCAAGTGCCTCTCTATATTGTTGCTTTCTGATCAATGCTTTGCCATTTGCATGAAGCATGAGACCCATCATTATAGCCCTGTCAAATGAAGTGACAGGTTATCACAGAGTACAGGTTTATAGCTATTATAAAATACACTAGGCTTCATGTGCCAGATATAATATTATTAATACCGCTGGTCAGTATCAGATCCAAACTGCAGTTTTTCTCCACTCTGATTTTCAAGTTCTAGGTTAAAGTCTTCTACAGGTAATGAACCTTCTGTATGTCTCTGGGCCAATGACATAGCAGCAGTCCTGCAATTTAAGTGATATTACTGTAGTGACCATAAAAAGGAATAAAGTCCAATAGTTAAGTGAAAGCTTAGTACTAATCGGCAGAAGAGGAAGGGGAAAAACAATATATTTGCATGAAATAAACCTAATGGCAATATCGTATCCATGCTGATGCAAGACCAGAATGCAGGCCTCCAGAAGTACATCATATGCCAGACTACAAACCTAACTATGATAAGCATGATTCATCTATTCTTATGTCTATAATCATTTTCTTTTCTTGGACTTAGAATTTCTGCAGTTTAAGTCTGTAAAACATGCCAAAAGGCATCTGAATAGCGATAGCTATAATGCCATGTTCCTCATAGTCATAGGATTGACAGCTATAAATGATACCAATGGATGCCAAATATAGATACACAAAAAGCATAACTCACTTCTGGAGGAAAAAATCAATAGAATTCTACATACATTGCAGTTCTAAAATTCCATTGTCTCCAAAATCCCCATTTTATCTCAAATAAATTAGAGTAATACAAAAACTTTACAATTTTATCTTAACAATCCAAGCAGCAGGTTTATCTAAAAAAATTTACACGGGAAGAATATGCAGACTGATCATGAAAGAAAACCAACAACCTAACACATTCACTTTGATCATGCAACTTTCTTACTCCTACTGCAATTATCCATCAATGACCACAAAATACCCAATTAGTTAGCACACAAGAAGAACTCAATTTTTTCAACTTTCAACACTGATCGTGCAATTCAAAGCACAGACACAAGCAACATGTGAAGAATATACTATATAGATGAAGAAATCACTAACTTGAGCCTTGAAAGTCTAGAAGAGCGTTCCTCTTCAGCCAGAGATTCCTCCTTGAAGGACTTGCCACGATCAGGAGAAACCTTGGAGGCCAAAACCTTCGCATTATTTTTGACGCCCAATTGGGTGAGCTTCTCCGTACCGTCTCCGTCTTTCAGCAATTTTCCAGCACAGATGAGGTTTATGGTCTCCGGCGGCGCAACGCAGCCCGATCGCCGGATAACCTCTTCCCTAAGCATAGACACCGTCCACTCCTCCAGCTCTACCTCCAACACCCCACTCCATGCCCCTGCTATCTTTAGCTTTGCCATACCCCCCATACTTCTTCTCACAGAGTTTCTCCTCAATACGCAAAGGGGCGAGGAGGATATATATATTATAACTATGTAAGGAATTGACTTGTTGAGTCAATTTCCGTTCCAATCACACTCTCGATATAATTCGCTGCTTCCTATGTAAGTTCATCAACGTGCGTTGATTGGCCTGTGGGATAATTCGTAACGGCCTTGGAGTCTTAGAGATTAAGGATTGACAATTTTTGGGATATAGGTGAAATAAGTCTTTTGAACTAATTAGTAAAAGTGCAATTAAATTCTCAAATTAGAAAAAAAAAAAACAAAAAAAAATTAATTAGACACCTGAACATTGGAAAAAATACAATTATTTCTATTTAATTTGTTAATACAAGTAACATCCAAGTTAAAGATAATTGGAGTGTTACATTAATATGTTTTGAACTTTTGATGTCTTAATGTCAATTCATTCTTCCCAAACTCACTCATGTTAATGCCCAATTTATATAAGGGAAAAAGATCAAATAGGCCACCAAACTTTAGCTAAAAAGTCAATTAGGTCCATCAATTTTTTAAAGGTGCAATTACACCCATCAACAATTCATTTTAGAGTTAATACCATCCGAGGTCCTCCGAGTATAGTAGTTTTGCCACGTTTAGTCCTAAATTTTCAAAGTGACCATCTGTGGTCCTTCGACTTTTAAATTTAACCATTCATGGTCCAAGTTAACCACCCAAGGTCCTTCAACTATTAAATTTTAACCAACCATGGTCCTTTCGAGAGGACCACAACTGGTTACATTTCGAAACATGAAGGACCATATGTGATTAACTTGGATCATGAATGGTTAAATTTGAAAGTCGAAGGACCACAGATGGCCAATTTGAAAGTTTAGGACTAAACGTGGCAAAACCACTATACTCGGAGGACCTCTAATGATATTAACTCATTCATTTTAATACAATGAAACCCAAAAACCAATAAATAGCCTGTTATCACATATCATTAGGGACCCGGCCACACTCTGACACAATTTCAGACAAAAAAGTGATTGGCGAACGGTCGCTGGTCATGGAGAAGTCGCCTTCTCCGTTGAGAAGGCGACCACTATGGTCGTCTTTTGTCGGAGAAGGCGACCCAGTGATTGTCGGTCACTTTTTTGTCTGAAATTGTGCCCGAGTGTGGCCAGATCCCTAATGACCTGTGATAGCATATGATTTATCGGTTTTTAGACTAAATTGCATCAAAATGAATTATTAATGTGTGTAATTACACCTTTAAATTTTTGAGGGGGCTAATTGATTTTTCAGCTAAAGTTCGAGGGTCTATTTGACCATTTTCCCTTCGTATAATAATAATATAACTTGGTTACAAGAGTTGTTATACCATGAATCAGGGTCCACTAGGCAAGGTAGACCTGGTTCTAAACGACGTATAAATTATGTATTTTTAGTATTAAAATTGTGAACTTCTATAATATAAATCGTGTTTTTAAGTCAAAACACATAACCGCTATAGAAGGGAAATTTGTAAATACAATATGGTCATCAAATTCTAATATGTTAAAATTGTATGACTGCAATATTTGAAAAGAATTTGTGAATACGAAACAAGATAACCATTTATATATATATTAACATTGCGTGTTCGTAATATAAAAATTATAAATTTTTAAAAGGTAAATTGTGAAAATCACCCGGGTCATGGTAACCGCCGGTGAGCTTTTGCATGCTGGGACAGGTCCACTTTTCAAACTCGCCAATTGACAGATTTTTTAGTCTGCACTGCACCACCAAATTGTATCGAAGATTTTATTTTTAGCAAATTGTATGTAACGTATTTATTCTTAGAAATTTTGATATAATCTTACAATGATACTCACAATTCACAAAAAGGCGAAAATTCTCGTCTTTGACCCCACCTGATATTTTGATATACTCTGTGTTTGTAGGTGTTCATAGTTGAAACCGCAAATGGCCAACTGCGGCGGAGGCAGCAAGAGAAACACCCCAACCAAGAAGCGTAAGAACAGGAAGAAGAAGAAGAAGATTACCTTAAGCAGCAACAATGGCGTTAAGAAATCACAGCCTCTCCTCCTCACCCATCACCGCCATAACAACCAGATGGCTAAGCTCATCCCATTCCTCATCTCCACTGCAAACTCTGTCTACTCTTTCCTCCGCCGCCACGACCTCCACCTCCTCCCTAAACAATCTCTCTCCCTCGAGTCCCTCCTCGCCTCTACTTCCATCTCCGTCTCCAACCTTTTCTCTCTCCTCTCTCTTCCTCCGCCTCCGCCGGTACCCCAGACCGCCAATCTGCCGGAATCCCATTGCTGGTTCCAGCGCTTCCTCGCTTCCGCTACCTCCGATTCGGATGCCCGATGGATCCATTTCTTCAACCTAGGCAAACCCTCGTTTACGCTCCTCCTCCGTCTTCTCACCCCTTCTCTGTCTTCCCTCTTCCCTCTCCCTCCCAATTACGCCCTCGCCGCCGCCCTCTTGCGCCTTGCCCACGGCGCCTCCTACTCCGCCGTCTCTCGCCGCTTCGGCCTTGACTCCGCCACTGCCTGCCGCGCCTTCTACGCCGTCTGCAAAGCAATTCATGAAAAGCTCGGGCATTTGTTCGAGCTTAAGACGGATATCAATCGGGTTATTGTGGGGTTCGGGTGGATATCTTTGCCCAATTGCTGCGGTGTTCTTGGGTTGGAAAAGTTTGAGCTTGATGGGGATTTGATGGGTGAAAATGGGTATTTGATAGTTCAAGCATTGGTGGACTCTGAAGGAAGATTCTTGGATGTTTCCGCTGGGTGGCCCTGCTCCATGAGCCCTGGAAACATTTTGAGACAATCCAAACTCTTTTCTGGTATTGAGGAATCCAAAGGATACTTAAATGGCCCAGCATTCGAGTTAAACGATGGCAATTCCATTCCTCAGTACATTTTGGGGGACTCTTGTCTCCCACTGTTACCTTGGCTCCTCACCCCTTACATTAAACCAGTTATGGATGTGGACTTAAGTCCTGCACAAACTGCCTTTAATTCGGTTCATGCTAGGGCAATGGAATTGGTGGGTACAGCGTTTGAGAGGGTTAGGTGCAGGTGGAAACTCGTGGCAAATAAATGGAAGGGACGATGTGATGAGGCTTTTCCATTTGTTATCGTGGCGTGTTGTTTGTTGCACAATTTTCTTATCAAGTGTAGTGAGAATTTGCCAGATGAAAACGTGGAATACTTTAGGAACCAGGAGTTTCCGGTGTGTGATGAGGCGTTGGACGACAGTGGGATGAGGATCAGAGATGTTCTTGCATCGCATTTGTGCCTGGTAAGTTAGAGAAGATGAATCTTGTAATCTATATTTATTGGCTTTATTTATACTTTGATGCTATGTTTTCCAGAGTATACATTTAGTGTATTGTGAAAACTAGGATTCTAGTATTCCTTTTATGTTTGGTGCAATGAATAGTCGATTTTATTAGAATTACATGCTATATATGTGCAAAGGCAGCCCATACTTTTATTATTTTTCGCATTTTGTCAAACAAAAGTTATAAATGATATGTGTGCCGTTTGATAGTATATAAAGGAACAGGAGAACATGAAGTTTGTTGTTTTGAAAGTACTATTTATTCAAGATGTCCAGGAAGGGACATTCTATCAAAAAAGAATGCCTCATAAGTATGAAGATCGTAAGAGTTGTTTGATGTCCTGCCAAAGATTCTTTGCCTTGTAAAGAGAGCTTAATTCTAGTGTCGGATCAATATGGCAATTGGGAGGCCCTGTGAAATCATTTCCTCTTAGATTGGCTTCTTTCAATGTTATGTTATTATCTAAAATCCTAGGCAAATATCTCCTTTTTGTTGCTCTAGGATAGAACAACAGATGTTAATTCATGCTGGTAATGAAGAAATCTAGGAGTTTCTTCCTTTATGTCATGTGACGCATAGTTTGTTAAACTAAATGCCTTGTGTTGATCGTAAAAACCTTGGAACCAAAGCTTGAGATATGTGATCTAGCATCAGTTTGTTGTTGTTTCTTGAGAGGAATTCCGTGTTTGTAATAGAAACTTGCAAATTCTGTATTGGGAACATTAGAATACCTTGAAATTCTCAAAGTGGTTGAAATGCCGGGAAAGGAGAGTATTGTAGCCTTATAATGGTGGCTTTCCTTGTCCCCAGTTCTTGAAAATTAAGGGGACAGATTCACAGATTCGAAGAATCGAAGTCAGGGAAGGCTTCTAATCTCCTCCACTTACCATTATCTACAACAACTCTAATTCTTTGAGGTGTTTCAACAAAAACTAGATCCATTATCCTTGTTGGTTTCACGAAGCTTGGCCAAATTTTCTTGTATACTCAAGCTATTAAGATTTAGAGCCTTGGGCGGTGTAGCTATGGTGCCAGCTTTCTAGTTTGGGGAAACATGAATGAAGAGGAAGGGGATATACAAATGTACTGTTTGAAATAAGGCAATAGATTATTGTTGAATTTGAAGTCTCCAGTGTGGGTGGAAAGACTGTGCAAGTCTGACCTTTTTAATGTTAATTGACTACTATACTTTAGCCGATTTTGTTGTAGATTTAGAAAGTTGATAGGCGAAAACTCACTACTCAAGAGAGATGATAAGATGCTGATATCACAGGGATTTCCTTATAGATTTAGGACCTCCAGATTGCTAGCTTGCTCCTGAAACCTTCAATGCGAAATTTAGGTAGAAAATCTTTAGATCTTCGATTGCCATAAAGCTCTTGACTGCACGCACTATCGAATATATATCTAGCTCTAGCTCTTGCTCTTTTAGAACGATAAGATTAGTGGTTTGGCAGCACTTAAGAGGGATTGTTATATTGTGGACCAGCAGTGTACTGCGGATCCTGGTCCAATACACATAATTTGACTTAATAATGTACATAATTCATGTTCATAATGCACATAATTTATGTTTATAATACACATACACATAAACATGATATAATTAACATGAATTATGTGTATTATGAACATGCATTTTAAACATTACAAATATGAATTTTGTGTATTATGTTGCGTGTTTATATGTCTTCATTATATTGTGTTTATGTGTATTATGGACATAAGTTCAGTATATTATAAAGTCAAATTATGTGTATTGGTTCACATTTTACAGTGCACTGTGGGTCCACAATATAAATTGCGACTTAGGAGTCATAGTGATATTGATCATGAGTTAAACTCCTTGTTATGGGCCTATGAGAGACAAGAAAGAAATCATGCACTTTGCAATCACTTGGCAAATGCAACTAATAGGCCACCTTCCCAATCCTATTCAAAAACTTGAAATGGCCCAAAATACTTATGTGATAGCTTGATAGTGTACTGTTTGGACAATGGGCACTGGCGGTAAGGTTGTAAGCGAACCCAAACACAAGCACCTTCAGCAATTATATTGTGGACCGTGATTCAAAAATACTTAAAGAAACAGCGCGCCGTTACAGTTAACGTAGCGCGCATGTTTGGTGTATTAATTACCAATTGAAACTACAGTATATCTAAACTGACATTGTCTCGCGTATCATTTTTATATTATCAAGTGAAATTGTAGTTGTGTTGAAATGAAATTGCAGTGTATACAAAATGAAACTGAATAACAATTTCACATATTTTAGTGTATATTACCCAGTGAAATTGTAGTTATATCAAAATGATACTGTAGATGTGTTGAAATGAAACTGCAGTGTATATAAAATTAAACTAAATAATATTTCACATATTTCTTCTCACATGTTGGGAGAAGAACATTTCACATATTTGAGTATATATATTGTGCAATGAAGCTATAGTTATATCGAAATAATCATGTAATTGTGTTTTAATGAAATTATAGTGCATATAAAATAAAATTAAATAACATTTTCACATATTTGAGTGTATAAATATTGAACGAAACTGTAGTTATATCGAAATAAAACTGTAGTTGTGTTGAACTGAAATTGCAGTTTATACAAAATGAAATTGAATAACAGAGTTACTTTTTGCAGAACGGTGTGAAACGGATGCTGTTTCTTTTCATTAAACAAAACGGGCCGAAGTGTCAAATAGGCTCATCTACTACTGCGAAGTGCTTAATTATTTTATTTTATTTTATTTTTTAATAATTGAATAGGCAACCTGCAAAAATAAAAAGTCAATCAAACAAATTTAGCAGGTAAATGTGGTTGATTAGACTTTAATTTAGTTCGTGGTGAGAATTGAGCACTTCGCAATAGTAGATGGACCTATTTGACACTTCTGCTAACAAAACAACGTCATTTAGAAGCTCGGTGCATAATCTATTATACACCGCAGTCCACGATATAATTTGTCCCAGCACCTTGCTCCTATAGTCCTATGACACATCTTTATGTTTGAGATTATAAGCTTTCACAATCTCTTTTTTTAAATATTATGACATGTTAAAAATTGAATATCTTTCCTATTTTTTTAATTTAATTGTAATTTTTTCCCCTATTTTTGTACTTTTAAGAGTTTATTTACTCCATACAATTTTTTTTTTTTTTTTCAGAAAAGAAAATATGTTGGAGATTTCAAACTCCCATTATTTACTGCACATTTATTTCAAGCTTGGTTGGTTGGGGTCACTTTCGGACCCTTTACTTGCCTTGGGTAGAATAAGTAAGAATCATCAATGCATTAAATTCACTTTTATGGACAATCTAATTAAAACTAGCTTTCATCATAATGCTCCAATATGAAAATTAGAGTAAGTAAAATAATTAATATAAATTTTAGATGGGAAAGTTAATCAAATTATAAATAGGATAATGCCGAATACAATATATATATATATATATTTATTTATTTATTTATTTATTTTTGAGACCGAATACAATATTTTTTGTTGTATGATATTTTTATCACTCTTTCGTACAAAAAAATGTCACAATCAAATTAATATATATAGCTAAGGCCTAGGAGAAGTTTAGTGCTATGCAGTCTTCAATTTAAATAGGAAGAACCATTAATACCTACTGTAATTCCCTTTTAACCTTTTTTTTTTGTTTTTTTTTTTTTTTGAGTCAATACTATGAAATAAAATATTCTCAAGAAGTGAGTTAAAATAATGAATTAATTTCACTTTTGGTCTCACGACTTTTGAGGTTCTATTACTTTTGATTTACAATTTTAAAAATTTTCAATTTTAGTGTTTAATTTTGTTATTTTTTATCAGTTTTGGTCCTTTAAGTCAAATTGATGACGAAATGTTGCCAGATTTTATATTTTAGGGGTAAAATTGTCATCCTAAGAAAACATCTTCAATATCTAAACAAAATCAATGTAAAATCATATCTATAGGTGTTTGATCGATGAGAATAATGGTGAAGACGAGTAGGAATTAAACACAGATCTATGGGATTTATAGTGTCGATGATTGACAAACTCTTCTTTTTCTCTTAATATGATTTTTCTTTTGTTTATATATTGAAGATCTTTCATTGGGATGATAATTTTACCCCTAAAATATGAAATTCGGCAACATTTCATCGTCAATTTGATCGAAAGAACTAAAATTGACAAAAATAACAAAGTTATAGGTGACACCAAAATTGAAAAAATTTAAAATTATACACAAAAAAATAATAAGACATTAAAAGTCGTGCAACCAAAAGTGTAATTAGTTCTAAAATATTTATGACATGTCTTCTAATATTTATTGCATTTATCTGTAATCTTAAATATAGGTCACCGTTCAACCACACCAAATTAGGAAGTAGGAATAGGGGTGTTCAATCGGTTAACCGTTCGGTTAACCGAACCGAATTAATCGAAGTTTTTTTTTCCTTTAACCGTTAACCGAACCGAAGTTTGCTCTACCGAATTTACCGAACCGAAATTTTTTTCGGTTAATCGGTCGGTTAACCGATTAACCAAAATTTTTAAAGCTAAAATTTAAAATTCTAAAAATAATACCTAAAATAATAAATCCTATTAAAATAAAATACATATCATAATAAATCATAACAAAATATACAAAAACATTAATTATAAACTCCAAACATCCATAACTTCAAATTATTATATATATATATATATATATATATATATATATATATATATATATATATATATATATATATATATATATATATATATATATATATATATATATATATATTAAAAACTTCGGTTAACCGTTCGGTTAATTCGGTTAACCGACCTTTCGAACCGAATTAACCGTTAACCGAAATTTTAAAATTCCTTTAACCATTAACCGAACCGAAAAGTTCGGTTCGAAAACGGTTAACCGAACTTTATCGGTTCGGTCGGTTAACCGAAAATTATCCGAAGTTTGCACACCCCTAAGTAGGAACAATGTAGGGCCTTCATGAGCTCTTTCCTAGCTTGTAGGCTTGGAGCTGTTATAACTTAGGATATATATATATATATATATATATATATATATATATATATATATATATATATATATATATATATATATATATATATATATGTCTGTGTGTGTGTGGTTTTTTTTTTTTTTTGGAGAAATTAAAAAAAATATTGAGATATTTCGACATCGTTTTGGCACAATCTTCGTATCAGCTTTTGTATGCCATTTTGATTCACAAGCTGGTTTTGTACACGTTCATAGCTGGGGAAACCATTGTTTGACTATTCTGATGAAGAAATTAAACATAATAATTAATAAATTAATTATGAAAGGACTGAATTATCTTTTAGAAAACGGCATTAGATGATCAAGTTTAACAAAAGGACCATAGATTGCTAGAAACAAAAAGTAAGAGGACTAAAAGTGGTTGATTTAAAAGTTGAGGACTAAAATTGACAGTGCCACCAAAGTCGGAGGACCTCCGCCAGTATTTACTCGTGTGTGCAATCATTCAAACCATACCATGAGTTGATTTGAGTCAACTGACTAGCTATCTCAAGCAGAGATAGGCCATACACTGTGTAATTTGTGAAGGAAAAATTAGCATATAGCACTTGGTAAGTTAACAATTACAATTAAATATTTTGTTCAAACATTTGACTAGGGTTTTTATTTTTTTTTTGATTGGCAACGATTCCATGTCTTCCTCATATTTTCTATAATTATAATAGAATCTGCAAACATCATATAGTCTTTAGCATTGTCATAAACCATCCACTTAGCGAAACAATTGTGTCCCCATCTCCGAAGTTGTGAACAACAACTTGAAGAAGGTAATTCCCATGGGATTGTAATTGAACCTTGTTGGATAATTCTAAGAATTTTTTTCCTACATTCATCACAAGGTGGTTGATTGTTTGAACACATAGGTAAGTTTTGCACACTTTCAAGAACTCCTGGATCTTCTGCGTCAATTATAGCGTTTAAGAAATTGATTTTTCCCATTGTCATTACCAAGCCTAATATAAAATAAATATTTAATATTTGCATTGCTTCTTTGTCTTTTGCTTTTTCCTATTCTTTTACTTTTCATTTATACTAGTTTAGTGGAGTGGGATATATATATATATATATATATATATATATATATATATATATATATGTATGTGTGTGTGTAATTAAATAATAGAAATTCTAAAAGCATGCATCATGCATATGAATAATTATGATACGTTATAACTATTATTATAAATAAATAATATGAAAATTTATAAAATAAATTGAATATGTTATTGATTATTAAGATGAACACTTAACATAGGTTTTCTTTAGTAAATTAATAACAGTTTAATGTTGTAATGTTCTGTCCGGGATAAATGAATATAATATACAAGAATGACAAAAAAAATATGAGAGTGACCTTTTCATTACCATATATATATATATATATATATATATATATATATATATATATATATATATATTACATAGAATAGTGGTTACAAAACATCTCCATAAATCCTCATAAATATAATAATAATGTTCACAACTTCACATAAATACAATAATAATGTCTATTAATATATTATTTTGTAACGCTCTCCTTTGACATTATTTAACCATAATCATGTCTCGTTCAAAACTCGCTAGAGAAAATTTTGTGGGAAAAAATCTAGTCGAGAAAAGAGTACACGATATATGGGTAACGCATGTGTCGTTCCGGTTGGCTCATTAAAAATCTTACACTGAATAAATCTAGTGGAAAAAACTCAGTTAAGGAAAAAAAGGTACAATCGTAAACCGTTAGGGTTTAAATTCAGGATAAAGAATATTTGATCTTCGGAATCAATAATTTAATTGTACTTAGATGTTATTGCTATCCTTGAAGGCAACAATCTCCCTAACCTACGCATCCCAATTTTGTGCACATATTTATCAAAAAGTAAATGTAGGTAGGGATTTAGTGAACAAAGATTGTCACTTAAACAAATCTTTTGAACCTGTATTTCACCACTCTTCTGGAGTTCGTGTGGTAATAATTTGTTAGAGAAGAAAAATAAATGAAATAGTTCTTTTAAGGGTAAAAATATCTATTTAACACCCAAGATGGGAAAATTCCCACTTTTAAAATAATTGAATGAGCAAATGTGTATACATGAATAACTCAGGAAAAAAAAAGGTGCTATAATCTTATAATTTAGGAAAGAAAAAGTACCATATTTCTTCTTTTAAAACATCAAAACAATATCATTTAGGATTGTGTATGTATTCGTGTCCATACATTTTTTTTTTTGAAAGACAACCAATGTGGTTGTATTTATAGAAGAGCTGAAATAGAGTCAGGTGGGATAGAGTCCTAATACATAGGTGTAGTAAGCTCAAAAGCAGTAGATGCTAACATATGCGCTAAAAGGTTTTGTAATCTAGGTACTAATAAAACTGAGCACGAACTAAAGGTAGAGATGCAAAATTTGCAATTATCAATAGCGTAACCAATATATGATCGAGCTGTGGTATCTGGTGCAGATAGGTAGTGTTGTAGCGTCTGACAATTCGTGTAAAGCTGTATAGATTGTTCTCCACGATCTTTCAGGCAAGACAAGACTTCCTTACATGTAAATGCTTCGGCCATAAGTGGGGAAGAGCAACTTGGGAGGGGAGCGCTGAATGCCGATATATAATGATTGTCGGCGTTGAGGAGTACCGCTCCGACCGTAGCCAAATTCGTTCCATGTTGAAATCCAGCATCCACATAGCATTTTCTCAGTGGTGCTGTTGTGCCGAGGAGTTGATCGGGCGGCAGTGGCAATGGAGGTGGCATCTGTCCGGTGGGAGGAGTGGCGTCGGCATTATGGTCGGACGCTGCTTGGACGGTAGTAGGGGATGTATCGGTACGGTGATCGGCTGGCGTTCGGACGGTGGTACGGTGGTGGATACGGCGCCAAGCTTCCATCGTCGCCGCAACAGTTGCAAGTATTTTTCTCGGCCTCGATAAACAGGCATCCCACACATAATTTGACTTCATAATGTACATAATTCATGTTCATAATGCATATAATTTATGTTTATAATACACATACACATAAATATGATATAATGAACATGAATTATGTATATTATGAACATAAATTTTGTACAGTATAAACATGAATTCTGTATATTATGAAGTCAAATTATGTGTGGGATGCCTGTGAATCTTGGTCCACGATATAAATTGCCATTTAGGAGTCATAGTGATATGATCACGAATTAAGCTCCTCGTTATGGGCCCATTAGACACACGAAAAACGTCATGCACTTTGCAATCACTTGGTAAATGCAACTAATAGGCCAGCTTCCCAATCCTATTCAAAAACTTGAAATGGCCCAAAATACTTATGTGATAGCTTGAGAGTGTACTGTTTGGACAATGGGCACTGCCCACTGGCGGTAAGGTTGTAAGCGGACCCAAACCCAAGCACCTAGCTCGTGCCGAATTATGCCGTGGAAACGTGTTCACCGAGAATGGTGAACACAAGTCAAAACGACGTCGTTTTTAGGCAAAAAAAAAAAAATCGCGGATGTGGAGTTAACGGCGCGTTACTGATCAAATTATGAATTTTCTGTTATGAGATTATGAATTTTATGAAAATTCATAATCTCATAACAGAAAATTCATAATCGCATAACAAAAAATTCATAATCTCACAACTGAAAATTCATAATCTCATAACAGAAAATTCATAATCTTATAACAGAAAATTCATAATCTCATGGTTCCAAAGTGAATGTGCAGGCATGGATTCATAATTTATGAATGTCCGTGATTTCGGACGGGAATATGTAGGCATGGTTCCAAAGTGAATGTGCATGCATGAATTCATAATTTATGAATGTCCGAAACTCCGAAATTATGAATGTAATGAAAATTCATAATCTCATAACAGAAAATTCATAATCGCATAACAGAAAATTCATAATCTCATAACAGAAAATTCATAATCTCATAACAGAAAATTCATAATCTCATGGTTCCAAAGTGAATGTGTAGGCATGGTTCCAAAGTGAATATGTAG